CCTTAGAAGCATTCAAGCTCACACGATTCCATCTCGAAACAGCAGTTTCAGGTCTTGAATAATCGAAAAACGAAATCGTACTATGATTAAGCCTTGCATAATCCATTGCTTGCCACCTTCATCAATTAATTATCAACATCATTTAATTAACGTTAATGACTCAAACTAATGACTAATTAAAATTTTAAATTTTTTTAATTTACCAGAGCTCTTCGGCGACAACGACAGAGTCAGCTAATCTCCGGCGCGTGCGATAACTTCTGTAAACTTTCTGCACTTTCACCGCCGCACACGCGCCTTCAAGCGCGTCGACGACATGAGCAAGAGATTCTTCACGGCGATGGTCTACCGGAGAAATGAGGGACTGGTAATCGAAGTTGGAGACGACTTGCATCTTCTTCTCTCAAAGACTAAAATGGAGGATTGTGATAATTTTAGTTTTTTTTTTTGTGGATTTGAGAGAGAAGATCCAAAAGGAAGAGACTTTTGTTTTTCTGCTTGTTGATAGTGTGCTTGTGTGTATTTTTATATATAGAGAAAATGAATGGTTCGTTTATAATCTCGAGGACCCTTTCTTTTTTTTCCTTATTAGTTTTATTTCTTTTTACCATTCTCTTTTTTTACTCATTTCTGTTTTCCTTGTGGGATTAATAGACAGGTAAGATTGTGAAATTTTTGTCGTCATTGTGGATTCATTGATATATATATTTTGTGAGGATAAAACTCAATAGATTTAGTAAATTTAAATTTTGCAATAAAATTTTGGTATTGAAAGGGACTTATATATACTTCCCCTTAAGTGGCATGTTCGTTTGGATTTTGCATTTTAAGGGTTCTTATAAAAGTTTTTCAAAGTTACAGCTGTTGTGATGTCATGTTTCAACGTATCTATTTTATGTAAAATTTAATATGATTACCCAAATTTTGGATATTGCAGTTTAAGTTTTGAGTGAGGAGGATTCTAGGGTGACTTTTATGATTTACTCTTCGGATATTCGCAAATTTAGTAAGCAAAATTGACCATATGTAATCAGTCAGCTTCACGAAACAGGAATAATCATATAAATACACATGTCTAGCTGTGAGCTGTCTGCCAGGAATTCAATGTTAGGAGAAAATATCCCATTGTCTAGTGTTACGGTGTCAGTGAAGATCATCATTCCGTTTTTTTTTTTAATTTTTGCAGAATGTTACAAATGTATATGTAATGCTCGTTTTGAAATCTAATCTAATAATATAATATAGCAAGGTTTTTTCCAACGAAAGATACGAAAGACTGCTAAGTGTCACCTACTCTTTTGACAAGTGTTTTTATTAATTTATTTATTTTAAAAAAAAAATTTATATCTATTTTTTTCTTTCTAATAACTTTGACAATCAATTCCAACAATTTAATAACTAATTATAATGTTAATTAATTCCAAATAAGTTGTAATATAAATTAGCCA